AGAGGTTCATACAGGTGCTTTCCATCAGGTATTGAAAACACCTGTGGATGTCACCGAGCAGCAATCAAGCATAATAAGCACCAATTAGGCAGCTTTAAAATGACTGTGATACTCAGCTCCTTCTAGACATTTACTGGTGTGGTTACAAACATGGTGAAGGCAAGAGAATGGTCCAGGAAGACAAGAGAAGAGGTGATTTCTCTTCACAGGAAGGGCAATGGCTATAAGAAGATTGCAAAGATGTTAAACATACCAAGAGACACCTTAGGAAGCATCATTCGCAAATTCAAGGCAAAGGGCACTGTTGAAACGCTACCTGGTCGTGGCAGAAAGAAGATGCTGACTTCGACTGCTGTGCGCTACCTGAAGCGTAGAGTGGAGAGAAGTCCCCGTGTGACTGCTGAGGAACTGAGAAAAGATTTGTCAGATGTGGGTACAGAAGTTTCAGCCCAGACAATAAGACGCACACACTGCGTAATGAAGGCCTCCGTGCCAGAACTCCCAGGCGTACCCCCTTGCTGTCTCCAAAGAATAAGAAGAGTCGACTGCAGTATGCCAAAAGCCATGTGGACAAACCACAAAAGTTGTGGGATAGTGTTCTGTGGACTGATGAAACAAAATTAGAACTGTTTGGGCCCATGGATCAACGCTATGTTTGGAGGAGGAAGAACAAGGCCTATGATGAAAAAAACACCTTGCCTACTGTGAAGCATGGTGGAGGGTCAATCATGCTTTGGGGCTGTTTTGCTTCTGCAGGTACAGGGAAGCTTCAGCGTGTGCAAGGTACCATGAATTCTCTTCAGTACCAGGAGATATTGGATGGAAACGTGATGCAGTCCGTCACACACCTGAGGCTTGGGAGACGTTGGACCTTTCAACAGGACAATGATCCCAAGCATACCTCCAAGTCCACTAGAGCATGGTTGCAGAGGAAAGGCTGGAACATTTTGGAGTGGCCATCGCAGTCACCAGACTTAAATCCGATTGAGAACCTCTGGTGGGACTTAAAGAAAGCAGTTGCAGTGCGCAAGCCTAAGAATGTGACTGAACTGGAGGCCTTTGCCCATGAAGAATGGGCGAAGATACCCGTAGATCGCTGCAAGACACTTGTGTCAAGCTATGCTTCACGTTTAAAAGCTGTTATAACTGTAAAAGGATGCTGTACTAAGTACTAAGATTGAATGTCACTTGGGGGTTGAATAAAACTGATAATGCTGTGAGCACAGAAAAGACATTTGTGGTTATTTCATTATAACTGTTATGTTATATTTGTCTGACCTACAAGTGCCTCTTTAATGTAAATGTAAGCAAGATGACTGAATGATCAAAAGCAATGTCAAACTGGCCAAAACACTCAATTTCAGTGGGGGTTGAATAATTTTGGACACAACTGTAAGTTATAGACATATTTCTTATTTTAAGGGGAAAAAAAAGCTTTAGTGCCACTTTAAATGTAAATAAATATGGTCTGGTCTCCGTTTGTTGAGTGTAGCCACACAGATTTGGTCATCTCTGCTGTTGATTCCCGACATCAGTCTTGTGTAGTCATAGATTCACTGTGCCTTTTTGCTTGCTGTAATTAGGGTCTTTTATTGAAGGGTTTTTTCTTCAAATGGGTTTGCATTTCCATACAAGTCTATTGGAATAGAAAAAACACTTGAAGCAGATCAGGAGGAAGTCACCTGCACATTAAATGCACCTGTCTGTGAATAGTGAATAATCTCAGAAGCCTCCCAAACTGGTGCCATTAACACAAGCCCAAAGCCCGATGACTTGACTTTTGCCCCCCACAGTAAAGGCCTCTTGCCACAGTCAAGCTCTTGCCTTCCATCTACTCTGCCATCATGTCTGTGTGAAGTATTGGAAAGCCACATGATCTTTCATACAGACACAATGCTGTAGCTGCATTCAAGAGGGTTCTGTTATACCAAGCTCCTGAGCAGGAATGAAATGTGGAATTACTAAGCCCTGAACACTTCTAGACTCTTTAGACACTTTATTACCAGTGCTGTGAGCAAGATGGTTGAGGATGAAGGAGTTTATGTTCCTGATTCCAGTTATTTTTATTTTGTGGATGGACTTAATGAATATGTAAACCCAACCTATTGTATCATATTTGTAATATGTGCCTGCTGTACCATGTATGAAAAAGTATGCTGTTCTCCTTTGTAATTCTTCCTATGTGTGAAATCCCTGATGTTCCCACTAGTGCCACTGCGTTCCTTTTAAGAACTGACCACACTAGGCATGAGAGCACAGTGTGGTCAGTTTACTAGCTGTTCTCCAATGACCAGACCTCTGCTGACATACCCCCTCTGCACATCCATTCACTGGGAAGACCATTGTACTGCTATTTCTTCTCCCTGAGCTCCTTATGCAACTAAGAACAGAGAGTATGTGTTCACTGTTTTGCCTTTTTTTATTTCCATTTTAACCTGAATGGGTTGTTTTACAAGGTGAGGGTTTACATATACTTTAACAGAGGAATAGACCCCTGATGTTTCCATAAGGAGAACCCATCCCTGCTATAATTTACTGCCACATAATGGGCCCCATTGTTGCAGTAAAGGTTCATTAACCAGCTCCCCTCTGGAGCAATTTTGTACTTTTTCACATACGTTAAAATCTGTTGTTTTGACTATAAAATGCCTTATAATCCCCAGAATATTATATACTTTTTGAACTCGGCGACCCTATAGAATAAATAGATAGTAGGTAAATTTTTTTATGTTGCACAATATTTGCACAACTGTTTACCAAATTATATTTTATTGCAGATTAACAATTTAATCTCAATTTTTTAAATACAAAATAAAAGATGAGAGTTGTCGAGTAAATGGATATCAAGACTGTCCAGCATCAAAACTGAATGCGCTCAAAAAATGACCAAACGTAAAATTAATAGGCGACACTTTAAATGCTTTTACAGCTGATCATTTTAGAGTTGAACTTAAAAGAGGGACCTTGAATTATTGCTTTCACAATCATACAGTATAATATGTGGCTCAAACGCTGCTTTAAGTGAAGAGGCAGCTATATAGCTGTCCTGATCACTTTTACATTGAAGCCAGGAGCTTGCTGAATAAAATAAATACAAGCTCAATGTTGGTACTTCATTTCTGCCCCAGAAATACAACTGGAAGTGGGGAATGTCTCCAACAGATGTCTCTGTTTAATGTTTTCTATTAATCTTCCTTTAACAATGATCACCAGAACAAATAGGATGAATCTACCCAGAAGGAATGCAAGCAGCAATAAAAATCTGACAGGAGTTTTAATCCTTCTGAAATTCATCCAAAACTATAAAAAAGCAAAAAAAAAACCAAAAAAACCCCACACACACACTTTGGAGAGTATCTGAACCAGAAGGATGTTACAGATCAGTGTATACAGTATAATCCCTAAAATACGCTACTTTCTCCATTTTAGTCTGTTAAATATACCTTTTGAAAGTGGTTTGTTGTATCTAATTGATGAGTGCAAAAATAGCTGTTGATCCTTCCATAAATCCTGGGAGCCGATACCTTTCTGTGCCTGTGCTGACAGTTATAACTTGCATTGTTTACAGCTATCTCTGAGGACTGCTGTATCCCCACATCCCATGTTGAAAGTTGCAGTCAGCGAGGAAGTGTAAAAATTTCTTGGTTCTCATTTTTGTCTGGGACCCCATTGAGCAGATTATGCCTCACTTGCTTTTCTGGTGACAAGGATAGGAGGATGCTGTTAGCTCCGGGACAAGAAGGAATGAAGGTAGACTTTGTGATCTGTGCTGCCATGATGGGAAGCAAGGAGGGTCCCTTCCCAATAGGCGCACAGAGTTAAAGCCTTGCGTTTTTTTATTGCTTTCTCCAAAAATTAAATAAAACTGAAACTTCACTTTTTTGGCATAAGTTCTGGCGTGATTGGTTCTCTTTTAAGCTCATTTTTCCTTTTTTTTTTTTAAGCATGGCTTCAAAATTTCTCATCATTAACATGTCGCTGGAAGCAAGCAGAACCTTGTTTTATGGGTTAACATTCTGCAGCACGAAATTGCCAAATGAAGACTTTTCCACCAATGCCAGTAGGCTGCATTGGACAGAGGGAAAGTAGAGCCCCTGGGCCTGGTTTTCAAGAAGTCTGCCATAAGGATAAGGCTGCTTTGAAAGCAAGATCTAAGTTGAAGTGACGGTAAAGGAACTACTCATCTCGTAGCGCAGTTTCAGGGTTGCCATGGCAACTGTCAAAGCCAGTTTGTCGGAATGTTTATTGCGCGGTGTAACTCTCTAGGTAAAATAATTTCTGTGCTTTACAGAATACATATTCTGTATACTGATTTTCAGTACTGTCATGATGCGAGAACCTCTACTGCCTGCAACTTTCAGCTTGTCAATGGGCTGCATTCACACTGTTGGTTTTTGATATGCTTCTAAATCCCTGTACTTAAAGTGTTACTAAACCCCGGACCCTGCATTCACTATATCTGATCTCCCACAGTACACACTACATGGAAGTGCAATTATTTTAGTAAATGTAAACTGCTAAATACCTTTTCTCATCAGCAGTTAGAGCAGTCTTGTAAACAAAAAAGAAAAAAAAAAAAAAAAAAAAAAAAAAAGTGAAAACCATGAAAAAACAGCCAACACAGTTCATGTGCCTCCAATAAAGGTAAACCACCTACAGTACCAGAAATCCTCCACCATGGGCTACCACCTAAGGAGTATCACCCATATGCTCAATTGGGTGTCTGTTCACCTGATGTGGTGGACCCCTTAAAATGTTACTGTAAAGGAAGCATAGGAAGGACAGAGCACACGGAGAAGATGGGGAACACACAAAACTTTATTGAAGCAACAAAAAATGACAGACACTCAATGGGGAAATGGCAGGGAGGGTGATGTGTGCGCAAATAGGGACGATTACAGGCACGGGGGGTCTTCAGCGACAGGCAGGCAATCTCCCCCCTAGGCTTGGGGCCCCAGCCGAGCTCCCTCCGTGACTGGACAGCGGATTGGACCTCAGGGGCGGCAACACCACTAGGCAGGGACCTCGGGCAACAGGCGGCAATCTACCCCTGGGCAGGGGCCTCGGGCAACAGATGGCAACCTACTACTGGGCAGGGGCCTTGGGCAACAGGCGGCAACCTACCACTGGGCAGGGGCCTTGGGCAATAGGCGGCAACCTACCCCTGGGCAGGGATCTCGGGGACTCAATGGGACTCTAGCTGTGGAGTCTGGCCTCAGCACAGCTTCCACCCAGCTTTCTAGGGACATTGGGTTCACGGGGACTCAACGGGTAGCGATGGCTCAAGCGCTCAGGGGCACCACAGGTAGCTATACTCTGGGCATGCCATCAGGACACGGGTGGTCAGTGCACACAGTGGAGCAGTTCGGAACACGGGTGGTCAGTGCACACACCGGGGACCGTTCAGGACACAGGTGGTCAGTGCGCACAACAGGGACAGTTTAGGACACGGGTGGTCGGTGCACACAGTGGGGACAGTTCAGAATATGGGTGGTCGGTGCACACAGCGGGGACAGTTCAGAACACGGGTGGTCGGTGCACACAGCAGGCACAGTTCAGGACACAGGTGGTCGGTGCGCACAACAGGGACATTTCAGGACACGGGTGGTCAGTGCACACAGCGGGGACAGTTCAAAACATGGGTGGTCGGTGCACACAGCGGGGACAGTTCAGGACACAGGTGGTCAGTGCACACAACAAGGACAGTTCAGGACACAAGTGGACAGTGCACACAACAGGGACAGTTCAGGACACAGGTGGTCAGTGCACACAGCGGGGACAGTTCAGGACACTCACAGTAAGCAGCTTGCAGACCCTCAGCGGCAGGCGGCTCCAGACAGGGACGACCAGCGGTCAGCATTCCAGGGACAACCAGCGATCAGCAGACAGCAGCAGCTCCCAGGGCACTCAGCAGCAGACAGCTTCCAGGGACACGCAGCCATGGATAGTGTGCAGGGTCCCTCAGCAGCAGCTCCCAGGGCACTCAGCAGCAGACAGGGTGCAAGGGTACCCAGTAGACAGGCTTACAGACTGGCAGGGTCTCAGCTGTGGGGTCTGACCTTGAGGAGAAGGCTCATGCAGAGCTGTGGAGACTCCCAACCCTGGAGTATTGCAGAGGGCTACAGTCCTGACCTTTTGGGAGTCTGCAGAGTGCGCAGGGGGGATGGCTGGGGAGGCTCGGTCCCCCTCACCCGAGCCTCCCAGCATCTTTCTGGGAGCAAAATGATTCCAGCAGCATGGACAGGAACAGAGAAAGAAGGGCTGCTTCCTGTGCGGGTCTTTTGAAAACCATGTGGGACGCGGCTAGGTTGCCTCGGCAAAGGGCGGCCCAGCCCTGTCCATGGAAGCTCCACAGACATCGGAATGTGCAAGGGGTAAGGAAGGGGTGGAGGGATATGGCGGGGGATGGGAAAGGCACTGGCAGTCCGTGACAGTTACTAAACCCTGCATTCACTATATCTGGCCTCCCACAGTACACAGAACATGGAAGTGCAATTATTTTGGTAAATATTAACTGCTAAATACCTTTTCTCATCAGCAGTTAGTGCAGTCTTGTGACTTCTATCAGTGTTCAGCAGAGCACTGGTTAAAGCTGGTAGGAGGAGTTTTCCTTTGCCCCTGATTGTCCTATGAGGCTGTATAACCCCTGACCCTCTGTTTGGACAGTACTGATTTGGCCTTGTGCTGATCACATGCACTCTCCCAAGAAAAAAAAAACCTCTAGTAATACACACTAAACTGAACATGTGCAGCTTGCCTCCAAGGCTCTGTTCTATCAGCAGATGGATTGGGGACAGTAGAAGAAGGGAGGATCAGAGAAGTCGGGTTCAAACAGCCTTTTTACACAATGCAGATGATTAACCCCTTAGCTTCCACAGTGAGTATAACAAGCATGCTTTTCTGCATATACAGACTGATTTTACTGTTGTGTGTTTAGTAACATTTTAAGGCAGACCTATGGCAATCAAGAGTTCTAACCTAACCCAATCATTTTCAAGGATGGATCTGTGGAACCCTGAGGGTTCCTTCAGAGCTTGCTAGGGGTCCCTTGAGCAATGAGCAGGGGTGGCTACATTTCCCAGCTGACATGTCTGCCAAGTCCTGTTGCTGTTGAGACTTTAGAAAGTAACACTACTCTGAACAGCAATGTAATGGGACATTCTTCACACTGACCACCACTGTAACAGGACCATTCTTCACAGTGACCACCACTATAAAACAGTGTAACAGGACATTGCTCACACTGACCACCAGTGTAACCGGACATATTTCACAGTGACCACCAGTGTAACAGGACATTGTTCACAGTGACCACCAGTGTAACAGGACATTGTTCACAGTGACCACCAGTGACCACCCGTGTAAGGCCCCATGTACACGGGACGTGTCTGAATGATGGAAACTGACTGCTGGAAAACGTAGGTTAAAAAATGGCTGTTTATCCACGTTTGCATAACACGTTTATGTGCGTTTGCGTTTTAGAAGCGTTTTTTAAAGATAAGCACAGCAGAATCTCCCAAATGCCCAGAATGCAATGAAAAGTGGTAAATTATAAACTATTTCAGACTGTTTCAGAGAAATAGAGAGAGTAGAAGCAGAGACAGCAGTATGTGTTGAGATAATTAGGTGTGAGTTGCTCATTAACATTTCTTTTGTTTCCAAGGGTGGGAAAGGTGGCTGGTAGAGAGAGTCATTAAGGCCACCTGGCAGGGGGTCTTCATGAGGAATTTGAGGTTTGAATGGTCATTAACATATCTTTTGTTTCCAAGGGTGGGAGAGGTCTGAGGTGTGAATTGGTCATTACAATGTGTGACAAGCTTGGTAGGAACATCCTATGTTCAGTATTTTGTCCATCTGAGCACCTTGAAAACTCTTTGCATGCATTTTTCATGATGAAAAAAGGCTCTGAACAGCATTGGAAACTGGAAGAGTTAAAAAAAACAATTTTCAAACGCTTATAAACGCAATTTGCTGCATTTAGCTGCGTTTACAAGTGTTTTGCATTTTAAAATCGACGTCTGAACGCACGTTTGTTGCGTTAAAAAAAGAACGACTGTAAACTCAAGTGCCTGCAAACGAAGATATGTACATGGACACATAGGAAAACATTAGGGTGAGTTCAGGGGCTGCGAAAAAAAAAAAACGCAGAACAGCTCCTAAATGTGAGTTTAGCAGCTGCAGTGTACATGAGCCCCAATAGGACATTGTTCACAGTGATGCCAGTGTAACAGGACATTGTTCACACTGACCACCAGTGTAACAGGTGGTCTGCAACTCCTTTTTCTTTAGGTTGGTAAATTGGTGATCTCATATGTTTTCCTGTAACCTAATTATGATAAAATAGATCTCGTGGTGTGTACTGTCTTTTTATGGACTCATAATAAACAAATCCGCACTTTCATACTTTAGCATACATAAAGGGAGATGGACTTTTTTGGTAACTGCAGCCCCGCTGTTTCTCCTCCTCATGTGTTGTGATGTCACTGGATCAGCCTCCCTGACGTGTTGCGTCCTCTGGACTTTTTCAAAGTGTCTGGCTGGAGCCAGAGTAAGTAAGAGCTATGTGTCTAGCTGGAGGCATATAAAGCTGAGTTCACATTGACCTTTACTGAGATTAAGGTCCACCCTGAATAGTGAGAATCCACCTGAGTGGGGTCACGGTGGTGTATTGAGCACACTGGGGACGCTGGAGGAGTTTGCCCTGGTATACATGGTTATAGAGGAACTAAACTGAGTGGACACACTGGTTTTTGGTTCAATTTGAGCATGAGGGGAGCACAGAGAATCTTTAAAATATTTTGTTTCCACAAAAAGCATTAGGACACTTTGTTAATGACATTTGATTTTATTATTATGATATTTATTAGTTATTATTGGGCAGCATTTATATCTCAGCATTTGTTAACGAGCTATATATAAGTTTGTTATTGAAGGAAAGGTCCTTCAAGTCGCATATTAATGCAAATCCAGTAATGGATAAGTATGTGGCACTCATCCTGGGCTCTGGCCAGGCCATGCCCCACCCCAACGCATTTCGCTCCACCCCTGGAGCTTAATCATTCCCATGATTAATTTCCGGGATGGAACGAAACACGTTGGGGGTGTGGCCTGGCCAGAGCCCAGGCTGAAGTTGCCACATCTCCTTTAGTGGATTTGCAGCAATGTGCGACTTGAGGGACCTCACCTTCACTACATGCTGATGTTTGGAGCTTAGATAAACTTCATTCTGGGCCAACACTCCCAGCAGTTGGCGAATGATTGGGATCCTCTTGGAGCCTGAGTGGCGCTCATATTTGTGCATTTCTTATTGAAGGGATTACATTCACAGAGAAAATTTATTTATGAATAATTTAATTTCATTATGCACTACACTACTTTTTTATGTAATTTTTTTTATACGGTAGTTTTTAGTGATTGCACAGAGGTGTTATGGCTGCTTCCAATGTAGAGATTTAACAGTGCCGTGGTATATTTAAGGGGTTGTAGTGCAGGTGATCTTAATTTTACATGATTTCTCATGTCTATGCTTTTTTGTTTTTCTCACTTCTACACAAGTTAATACACAAAAAAAAAAGGCTGACGAATACTTTTCAGAAGCATTAGGAGCTGCCACAGGGGAATTTTTTATATGTTTAGTGCAGCTTTCAAAGCACATTGTAAAGTTAAATCTGTTGTTTTTGTGTTACTGTACTTTTTACTCACTATTTAGTTACCATGTGTTCTGTGATCTGCCTTTGAACATTTTTCTCTTTTTTTTTTTTTAACAAGCTTCATACATTTTGCTTCTTTTGAAGTTACCTGTATTTTAAATGCACACAACCTGTAACATAAACCGCTTAATTGCAGTATGCAGGATCTTAAGAAAACGTGACTTTAATTTACTGACTTTTTCATCAGTTTATTTTGTATAAGAGAGCACAGAACCTCACCTGCCCCCTAGAAGTGCTCCAAACCCTCAACTCACCTTATTTGGAAATATGGCCCCTTTTTCGGGACCAAATTCCTGTGTCCTACCTTCCTTCTCGGTTGTCCCTCTTTTTAGTCTGGTGGCTAGACCCCTGCAGAAATGTATCATTTAATGTGACCAATTTTAAACGTTGCAGGTGAAAGCACAGGAAAGAATTTTAAATGCTTACTTCAAACGATTTTCCTTTCCATAAACAATTTTTATTGACTTGCAATGTGACTTTGAACTTGCTAGCAAATATGCCTTCTCCGGGAGAGTCCATTTCCTGGCACAGCTCCCTCCCCCCTTACATGTTATAGCCCCCTCCCCTTCTGGAAGTGCCATTGATCTGTGTACTGGCCCAGATCATCAGCTCTAC